AAATAGTATTTATTAAATACTATTTTATAACTAACCCTATAATAAAAATATTTGATACGAAATAAAACGAAAATTCCTTAAGACTTTCAAAGCATCTAATTGAAAAAGAATTAACTTTTTATTTTAGTGGCTATAGAAAACAAGGATACCATAGTAAATGTTGCTTCTACATTTGATAACTTCTTATCAACTACTTTACAACAAAGTTCAAAAAGCACAAATATTGTTAATGCAATAAATCAGTTGCTAAGCATGTACCATCCTGATGATGGTATAGTTGCATATGAACATGTACTAAAAACTTTACTTATTTTATCTGAAAATTTAGATAATGATATACAGCAACAGATAATCTCTATGATACCATTACCAAAAGGTATATCAAATGATAAGATAAGAAATGTAATATATAAAACTGTGGAGTTAACTAAAGCAGCTAATAATATGTCTACATGTCAAAAGTATGACTTATATTGAAGTAATTTTATATGTATCTATATAGAATGACATGTTTATTTTCTTTAAAGAATCACAGAAGATAAGTGTAACACAGAAATCTTGAAAGAAATATCAGAAGTCCAACTAAATCAAAATGTTTTGGCTGATACATCTAAAAATTTTGAGTTAAGCAAGCAGTTTGTGCCTCCAGTACCTGAAGTATTTAAAGGTTTTCCTCCTAATGAAATCTCTACAGTTCACAGTCATGTAAGGAGTGTAAACTACATGTATGATACAGTAAACTATAATATTCCATATATAAACCCTTATATTAATGTTGCACAAAATTTTTCATCAAACACTAATGAACAAGAAGAATTATTAAAACTTCACTCAAAATTGAAATGGTTTCATAGTCCTCATCTTTTGTATAAAATTAATCCTTGCCAAATCACTGCATCTAATTATCAACAAGGTTTATTACAACCAGTGAATGATAAATATTTTCAGTTATCCACTCATAGAATTAACAATTGGAATCAATATAATGTATCTAACATACCTCATGCACTACATCAGGTTTGTAAAAATTTGTTAAAGCTATTAATAATTTAATTGTTTCTGAATTAAAACACTAAAAGTAATATTACAGGACACTACATGTTTGAGAAAAAAATTATGTAAGAACAGCATAATTCCAAACGAACTGAATAAAAATGGGATCTTAAATTTTGAAGTAACACATTGTGATCAATCTTCTTTAAAAACAAAAGTGAATGAGATTTTTCACAATGATGATATGCATCAAAATTTAAAAAAATATAATTTAAATAAAAATAGAAATTTCAACATGAAAATGCAGGAAGATTTTGGACAAGAACTGAAAAATGAACAACAAGCAATTCAACAAGACATATATAAAATGGATGTAGTATATTATGATGAAGAAAGAAAAAATACAATAATAAATATGCAGGTAAAAAATTTATATTTATAATACTTATTTAAATGATTTATAACACTTTTTGAAAGTAATAATGTTACAGCTAGAAAAAGAAGATAATTTTATAATGGACAATTTCATGGTACGTAAAAAGCTTAAAACAAGTTTGCAAAATTTTTTAAAACGTGCAGAACAAGAAATTTTTATTGGTAATAAAACTTATTTTATATGCATTGAATATTAACATACTTCAATTTAAGGTGTACAAATATTACAAGCATATCTCCTTTTTGTGTATGTAGAATTTCCACTACTGCCGCACACCAAGTCTTTGCACGTGATTTCACCTTCATCTAAATGTGAGAAGTTCGCAAATAAAAGAAATCTGGAAAACAATAATCACCTAGATGTTTCAAAGAATAATATGAATAATTTTAAGGACATTAGTACATCAGGAAACATTAAAAAATCTGTTGAAAAGAAATCTTCAGCATCTCTTCATGTCTTTCCAAAATCAGCACAACTACAAGTATTTCATAAGAAATTAAATACTGCAGTTAATAAAACACAAATAATCGAATGTGAAAAAGAGGATAACACAAAAAATTTACTGTACAAGTACTATTAAAGTTAATTGGTAAATTTACTATTTTTTTATAATTAACAATTTATTTAACAAAATCATTTACGCTCAGATCTTCCACGAAGCAAACAAAACAAAAAAGTCTGAACACATCACAACAAACTGTATGTGTTACAGAATTGGCTACATTTAAAAAACAATATTATGACACATTGTTAAATATTCAGAAAGCTAAAAGTTTGTTATAATTATTATAATGTCAATATACTGTATAACCATATGCTATTATATGTATGCATTCGTTATTTTGTAGTGGCAGTGGCAAATTCCTTAGCAATATCATCTGTAGAAAGTTTTACTAAGTACGATCCATGTTACTACAATCACTCATATCAACAACAACATGGACCATTAACTGTGACTCCACACTTCACAACTGCACAGTCAAGATATTCAAATATACATAACAATCCTTATACTTGGGTAAAATACAACAATTGGAGGCATCCAACCATGAAACCATTAAGATTTCCACAACATGTGAGATATAATTAAATATTGATGATTATTTGGTATATAAACATTCGTAACTACTTGTTTTATTACTCTATTTTATATCTTTTTAGCTCCCATTTCAAATTTCAAGAGACAAAGAGTAAGTTTTCTTGTTGTAGCTTCTAATACACTGTACTTTGCCTTTTATTCTTTCTTATATGAATATTTTATTCTTATTTATTCTTTCTTTTACTCTTTTATTCATACATTGAAAGGAATTCTGTACTACATTATGTAAAAACAGTGGATATTCAATGTTTTAAACAAGATAAAAATAAACAAATGAAGCAAAGTGTGCGACGTAAAAAATTAGAAGACATAGTTGGAAAATTGAAAGAAATAGAAAACAGTAATACAAGTAATTAAAAAATTGTCACTGTCCTCTATGAGAAGTTTTTAGTTTTTTAAGGTATGTTAACTTAAAAACAAACAGTCCGTTGATCAGCGAAATAATCATTCAAAAAATTAAACCAAAACATTATAAATGCAAAGAGATTTTACAAAGTTATATCTTTTAAAGATATAACACGTTTTATTATGTTTTAGTAGTGGTAAAAAATAATAATTGAATGTTGGATTGATTGCGAATATATTTAATAATTTCGTTTGCATTTTGGACGATTGTGTGACATTTCTTTTTTAATACAACATACGCATAATTTTATATCTTGCTGACGTCGATTGAACCTTAATACTTACAATGTAGTAACTAACAAATGTACATGTATTCTTCTTGATTAACATAGAACAAAGTTGCTTCTAATTACTAACATTTTATTGTATATTTTATAACTAACATATAACATACATACTTACAACTTTGCATAGTCTGTGCTATACAACAGTAGTTCACTTCATTATCCCTAAGTGTACAAAATAACTTTTAAAAGAATAAATGACAATACTAACTTAGGTATTATATGAATCATTATTTGTTATTGTCCAGAAGAATCGCTATGAAGTGAGACAAATTACCAACAAGTTGATAGATTAAGATAATGTAATTCTTGGTAATTTATCCAACCACATTTATCAACACACAGTAATCTTTCCATGTCTCAGAAAACATTCAATACGTCAATGCTTACAATAAATCTATAATAGTAACATTATTTTACATATATTTATTATTAATACCTATAATTTAAATTATGTATACTGAAAAAAAACAGTAATTGAATAATTCTAATAACTCTTTTTATGCATATAATGAGGGCTTCTATTTGTCAATGTAAATACTCTTTTATTAATTAGATTAATTTCATTCAGTGGTAAAAGTAACATCAATATTAAACCAGATAATTACTATGTAAATTTTTAATGCAATTACTTCTTTAAATTTAAACTACTTTTCAGATGAAATTAAAAAGTACAGTAGTGCCCGCTTAACTGCGACAGGTTCGGGACCTTATAGTGCAGCTATCGAGGGAGATGGATTTCCAGGAATTACCGACTGTTTCTCTTTCTCCGGCTCGTTCGTCTCTGACTGTGAGTGAGACGCAGAGAACTGGTAGGGTAGAGTGAGAAACATTGAGTGCGAGTAAGATGCGATGAACTAGTAGGGACATGGAGTCGCAGCAAACTGGGCAGAGATTGCCGCAGCTAAGCGAGCACTACTATACTTATGGATGACCAACAAAGAAGGTCTTCTGTTTCAGAATCCTCGACCAGCTTCCAGAGCTTG